TAGAAGCAACAAAAGATCCGTGGTTGTCAGGGGTTGGGGATGGAGGCACAGGGGATTTTAAAGACTGAAACCATTCCCCGTGATACTGTAATGGTGAACACATATGTCATTATACATTTATCAAACCCCATAGACTATGGACCCTGATGCAAACCATGGACTTTAGTTAACAATACTGTATCAACGTTGGCCCGTCAGTTGTAACAAAAGCACCACCCTAATGTAAGATGTTAATGGGGGAAACTGTGAGGTCGGGGAGGGAGAGCATGTAGGAACCCTCTGTACTTTCTGATCAATTTTCCTATAAACCAAAAACTGTTCTTTAAAAAAAAAAATCTATTCACTGAATATATATGCATTTAATTTAGATATCTATATCGATTGACAGATAGATGGCCACACCCAAGACATTAAGTGATTCCCCCAAGGCCAAACAGCCAATGGGCACAGAAGAGGGATTTGAATCCAGGGTGGCTGGCTCTACAGCCCAGAGGAAGCGTCTGCCCACGTTTCTGCCATCCTCCATGTCTATGCCAGCCACAGCATCTGTATCACTGCAAATTGCACCTTCAATATTTTGGTTGGCTCCAAGGGAGCAAAGGGCACGGAGTAGGGCCAAGGACCCAGGGGAGAGAAGGGGAACCCCCACACACCATGACGGGCACAGGGCTGGGGCTGGCAGAGACCCGATCTTCTCCAGCAGCCTGCCAGGGCCCTGCGGAAGGAGGCAAAGCACAAATGCAGAGAAGGAATCGCTTCGCTTCTCCTTGGCCATGGCTGCCCTCCCTGGGGCCTCAACCCCAGTCCCACCCCAGGGCTGCAGGCTGTGGCTGAGTGCAGCCACAAGCAGGCTGGGCGACCTCCGGAAGCCTCTGGCCTTGGCTTTCCCGTCTGTATCCTGAGGGGTTTGAACACCACCAGATGGTCTCCAAAATCCCTTTGGGCACTCAACTTCTAAAACCCTCTAACCACCTGCTGTCTCCTCATCCCCGGGAGAGAAGCAGAGATGGGACAGCTCAGGGAGGAGGGAGGGGCAATCCCTCAGTCCTTGTCTGGTCTGAGGCGTAGACCCCCTCCACTCCCAGGGCTGACGGCTGGGAGTCCTGAGCCCGCCACTGACTGGAGGCATCAAAATGAGGCCTGTGACCAGGTTAGGGGCTGGTCATGGCCCTGCCCATCGGATGGCCTGCATGGAGAGATCTGGGCTTCCCCCATTACACTATGGACTGGGGCAAGTCACTCCACTCCTCTGAGCCTCAGAGAAAGCCCTACATTTTAATGCAATCAACAGAGAAGGTAAGCAGAGGCAGGACAGGAAGGAAATCTGTCACTGAGGCAGCTGCCAGCGGGGAGAGCCCAGGAGAGGAGGTGCCAGGAGGGAGGCCTCCAGTGTCACGGGCAACATTCTTTGGGAAAAAGTTACTCACGGGCTGAGGCTGGAGCTCAGCAGGAGCCCTCGGAGATCAATCACGCCACAATTAGGGCCATTATTAACCTCTGGCCACGGAGCGGGTGTCTGAGCCTCCTGTTTACACAACACATCTGTCCCAAGAGACCTCCGACTGCTCTTCCTGGGGGGCAGGCCAGGCTCATGGCATCCCAGGCCTGGGTCCTCCTGTAGGAAGTGCTCCCTGCTTGTCCCTGGGAACGTGGCCTCTGGTCCCACCTGTCCCGTATCTAAGGCTCTGTAGGTCATGCAGTAAATGTTTGAGAAGCCTCCACAGTGTGCCAGGCACTACTGGGAGCCAAGAAAGCTTTACAGAGAATCGGACATGGACCCTCCTTTTAGGGGGACACCTCTTTGCAGCCGCAGCACCATTCTAACCACATGGCCAGTGTTCTGCTGTTAACAAAGGGTCTCCCTCACATCGTTTCAATGAAGCATCTCACCTCCTCTGCCGGTAAGTACCAGATCCCCGCGTTACGGACGGACGGATGAGGACGCAAGGCTGGAGCAGGTCAGGACAGGTCTGAGACGCACCCGCAGTCGAGGCCCTCGGGGGACAGAACCACATGTTTGGGACCGTTTGGGGCTACTGACTGAACAGGAGCCAGGCTCAGGACCCTGCCCAGGGGCCTTGGGTTCTCCTGGCACAGAAAGGACCTCTCTTTCCCATGTCAGGGAATATGGGCTTGGGCAGAGAGCGGAGCTTAGCATCTCAGACTCAACAGCTCTAGCTGCAAACAAAGTCTTAGAATCACCTCACCCAAGACTCATGCAATCATGCAATCCTGGTGCGATCCAACAGAACTACTCCTGGATCTCAGATTATTAAAAATCATCAAAAGTCTGCGCCAGGAAAGACCTGCAGCCTTCCCATCCAGCCTCGCTCTGCACACAGAAATCCCCAGCATGGGTCCTGGTGGTGGTTCCCAGCAGAGTGGCCTGGCCTGCGTAGGCTTGCACGCTCTCGGTGAAGGCCGCCCTCCCTGGAGGGCTGAATGGTTCACTCCTTAAGTCAGGCCTGTAGAGAGCCCTCCTGAGAGGAGTGGCCTGCCCCTGTATCCGCCCTCCGCCCCCCAAAAAAATAAAAATAAAAACCCACAAAAAAACAACAACAACCTGGCACTGACAGGCTCTTCCTGGAGCAGGCAGCGTGAGCAAATGTCTCCAGCGCTTCAGGCTGGGCCTCAAGGACCAGACCAGGGGCCTGGTGAAGGGGACGACTTTCACTCTCAGCCCCTCCCAGGAGCCCAGGGATTCTGCCACAGGGACCAGGCGGGCTTTTTCCAATGCCCCTCCCTGAGTCCCAGGGAAGGGAGGCACCCGAATGAGGGGAGGAGAAGAAGGAAGCTGAGTCTGGCAGAAACTTGCACTGAGCAAACTTGTCTCGGACTAGTTTTTGCCCCCTGAGGGGATGGAGAGCAATGATTTATTTTATTTATTTATGTAAAATAGTGGGGTTATGACACAAACAGGCTTCCTCATCAGGCCCTGGGGTGGGAAGAGAAAAACAAGCCCTGCCATTTAAGGAGTCTTTCCCTTGCTTCCTTCCACTCACACCTACCTGTCTCGCCTCCCCTCCCCACCCCCTTTCACACGGCAGTGTTCCCAGCACACCACACTGCCCACCTTCCCACAGCCCTGCCTTTGCTGGAAAGCCCTCCCCACCACCCCGAAACACATCCCATCCATCTTAACAAATGATCCTGTGCA